AGAATAAAATTTAGTCGGCTGACGGGACGACACCCCCATTGCGCCCTCCCTCTCTTGGGGTGCAGTACTACGATGCCGCTGGGGTCACTCAAACTCCCAGAACTGAGCCTCTACTTCAGTCAATCCTCTTTGACTCTATTCTTCATGACTAGTCAATCCTCTTCGGTAGTTAGTATGACTAGTAATTTTAGTACCGATTTTACAAGAGAGAGGGTGCCATTTAAAAGTTAACCAGTTAGGTTAAGTTAACCATGGAATATTGTCAACTGCTGTAGAAACACCTGCGAACAATTTACAATCGTTTGCATTAGTTCATTGTCTCAAGTACTAATAAATTGTGATTTTATTGTTTTAATTAGTAATAAATTGTGGCTATTTACATACTGCTGACGAAAAAAACGTAAACTAACAAATAGGAAGTTCACCGAAGTTCTACACACAATTGTTGAAAAGTTCGATTCATTTTTTGTATAAAAACTATTAATTTATCACATTCTTGAGATTATTGAATCAGCAATACGTCGAAATGGCTGCTACTGATGTTGAATTACCACTAATTATCGAATTTAGGTGAGAATTATTTTCTGTTTGACTCCAGATAACCTCTACGTTTTCTCATTTGAATAAAAAATTAATTTGCCAATTAAAACCTGTTCAAGTTTATTATGAAGAGGATTAAACACACGATTAAAGAAAACGAGACTCATTGCAATTGATTATTTGTGTTATAAAAACAATAACATTTAATTTATTCCATAGGGGCGGTGCTGAACTACTCTTCGATAATAAGAAAAAACATGAAGTGAATTTACCTGGTGACCAAGACTGTAAGTAATTCAATTTTTCACTTACTGAGATGTTTTTATTTTTATTCTCAGGGTTTATGTTTTAGGGACTCTACAAAAGTTATTACATTGGATCAAAGAGAATTTACTGAAGGAAAGAGAAGAGTTGTTTCTCCAGGAAGACACAGTGTAAGTGATTTTTGCCGAGAAAATCACAAAGATTCAACCGGTCATTTATATAATAACATCATCTCAATTTTTCATATTATTCATGATTCACCCAGATTCTTTTCTTCTTACAGCAGACCGGGTATTCTCGTTCTTGTGAACGATGCGGACTGGGAGCTGTTGGTAAGAAATAGTAAATTTCGTATCCGAGCCTTGGGAAACACATGATCCTTCACCACGTGCAAGATTGCTTTCCAAGCCGAAGGCGAGGGGTTATATGTTTTTCATGGCGAGGCGCAAGCATTATTTTCTTGTCGTGGGGCCTGACAAACGCAAATAAACACTGGGTGCCCCAAAAATGATATTGTTCAGATCCTGTGACACGATAAACATTTGTTTTCCCGCAAATACATTCTTACCTTCGACTTGTAAATCAAAAACATTTGGAAATATGAAAACGACTAATAAAATTCGTCTATAAGAATAAATGTCTATCACACCGGTAGAATATGTAAATGAGAAATATTCTTTACACAATTATCTTTTCCAATAATAATTGAAGAGTCTTTCAAGATGTCGGTCCATTCGCCCTTATTCCTTATTCCGTAGTTTTATTCCTGAGAATTCAAACAATGTCAGCTCTCTTCTCGTCGAATGAAAAATTTATAATTCTAAATTTGTAAATGTATCGTTAGGCCATGGGGTGGTATTAAGATATTCTACTCGGGTGGAGAGATCTCTCTGCACGGTGGGTTAACGTGCAAAAAGGGCAAATGGTAGAAAAGAGAAAAGAAGCCAAGAAAGACAGAGAAACTTCAAAAAAGGAGAAAAACCAGACGGTAGAGAGATGATGGGTTTGCCCATTATTATGATAATATCCGCGTTTCATGAAAGCCCCCTTGCATACCACAGTACTATCCTTTCACTTCCTCCTTCGTATCTTTATTTTTTTGTTCTCTCATTGAAACACTCTCCTCACTTCTTACTTTTCCATACGGATCCCCTTGCCACCTTTATTTCTTTCATTCCCCACGTGCATGTATTCCCATATTCTTACTCATATTTCTCCGTTTTTTTTTGGGTAAAATTATAAAGTGTAGACGTGAGACGTTCTGACTTTAAGACCAATGCTTAAAGCTAAAGTAGTTTCGCCCCCGTCGTCGACATGATAAACTGTGAGACCTAATTGAGGGTGGGTGCGGAACTTATAGCACGGAATTTATTAAGCTGGAAAGGAAAAGTCAGGGGGGAAAAGCGAGACAGCGCAAGTTGAAGGGATAGAAGGAGAAGGTGAAGAAGGGAAAAAGATATACACCTTGGCATAACTGATGATTTACGTGATTTTACAGGGACAGGGGAAGTACAAGCTGTGTCCTAATGATAATGTACTATTCATCTCGACACTTCACGGTGGTTAAAGAGTTTTTAAACGCAACGAAAATTGGGAATACTCAGGGCACGGATAGTACCTCGTTAACGAGAGATCCAGCCGAACCATAAAGTGGCAAAATCGATGAAGATGAGACTGCAGCATTAAAATGTGAAACAAATCAAATATACTTGAACATCCAATGATAAATCATTGAAATTGCGATAATCATTTCACTGTTGTACATGAAAATAATAAAAAACGTTTAACATAAATAATATTGAAAACAATTAACATTTGATCATCGAATCCCAACTTTTGCTATTAGAACGAAACAGTTTGCCTAATACTTCGTTTAAAACGTTTAACATAAATAATATTGAAAACAATTAATATTTGATCATCCCAATTTTTTACAATGAATGATTACTTTGAATGACTATAATTCACAAAAATTTCAGAGTCTCAAAAGTCTCTTCTTCGATCAGTTCCAATCGACAAAAAACGTTTTCCTCGCGTTCATAAATCCATGAACCGCCGCAAGTAGTAAAATAAACCACATGTCAGACCAAAATATTTATTTTATGAAGAGCAGTGTTTTCTTGGGAAATTCAATCAGATTAGAAAATTCCTTTAATTTTTTCAACTTAAATTGATAGTTTGTTTATTTATCATTGATCTATATGACTTTACCCCTTCCGTACTGAATTACGAGCCGAAAATTTTGGATGCAATGAGTGTGAATTTCAAAATGACTCATAACTCCAGCAATAATTCAGATAACATTAAAAATAGAACAATTATGGGACTCACGTTTGTAGATAGGCAAACAGACACACAATAAAATGTCCCAAGTCCTACTGTGATGTATTCAGAATAAGTTCTACGTAATGGCTACAATATAATGGCTAACACTTTGGCATAATGCCAGTGTTCTCCGGATATTATTGCTGCATTGCCTCCTCCGTTTTATCGCGTTATTCTCCTTAACTATAGTTCACAGTTAACTTTCTTTCATTCCTCTAGTCTTCCAAGCACTACCTACTACCTACTACCACCTCTCATCCCTTACTCTAACAGTTTTTGGGCTTATTCCACTCATATTCCGAACCTATGGCAACAGCGTCACTTGTTTCGCTGGTACTACGTGCTCAGCTTTACATAAATTAAGTTACAATTAAATATTACTAACAATGAAGGTTTCGTGGTTTACAACGCACCTTCGAGCTACTACTGTATTTTTATCTCTCGTTTTCCTCTTGCATTGGAGGGAATTATTATTTATATATTATTTATATATTATTTATATATTATTTATATATTTTTTTAGGAGTTTCAGAATTAATTATATGGAGATTGTAACCTGAAGTTCTCGTATAGGGTTTCAAAACGAGTGGTTATTATTTTTTTAATATCGTGACAACAATCGCTGATTTCACATGATTTTTATTGATTTCATTTGAATGTCGCTAATTTGAATAATTAAAATTCACAGAAATTTTATTTTAATTTTTTAAAAAGACACGAGAAATGAAATTTATCGATATATAAAGACTTGAATATCGATCGAGGGATGATTTAAAAACCGTCATCCCCATCATTGTCTGCACCAAATCCATATTTTTCGCGAATGCATCTTTCCTGATTTTTCATTCCCTCCTGAATGCTGTACGCCAATTAATCGCGTATTTATTTCCCCTCCAAATGATTAAAAAAAAATCTCCGAGAATGCGAAATCCCTTGGTAATCGTTAACGGGTCATGAGAGTTAATGGTCGAATGATTAATCGAGATACGGAATGTATAACTCGATAAATTCTAAACAGTTGCATATCCAGGAATGTTCAGAGGATATTTTGATGAATCGAGTGTATGAAGAGAACGTCCATGAGGATTACAGTGCAATGTATATGAGCATTCATGCGTATTTACACACGCTCGAGAAAGCCACAGTGTGCGTTACGTGTTCATGGACAACAGTACAATACTACAGTAACAGACGCATGCTGAGAGAAGTCCATAATTTGGTCGCGACGGTGCGTTATGGATATACAGGGATTTATGCAGTTGCCATAGGCATGTATGAGGTTCCTGGGTACTGCATCTGTTTCAGGATCCCGTGCAACCGCAGAGTGGATGAGCACGTTTCAGTCAGACATGACGTAACGTAGTCGCAATGGTCGGACCATTTACTTTCGACTACTCATCCACAGATTTATTTACTTTTTCAATCGTCATTGCAGTTCAGATCTCTATCTCTATTTTCTCTTATCACACTATACTTTATTCTATTTATTTTCCTTTGATGTTATGAATGTCTTCTTTGTATTACATCACCACCGGCCTTACTCTTGTTATCGTGATTTATTATGGCGGTAACAGCGAAATATCAAATATATCCACGTGTGATATCCACCTAACAACTCGACCCTAATCCCCAGAAAAAAAACCCTAATTTCTTTTTTCTCCTTAATCGTATATTTCGTAACAAGTGCGGAAAAGTGACTTTTGGGTAAGTGAAGCGAAGCGGAGCGAGGTAGAAATTTTTCAAGTGAAAAAAAACATCGAATTTGTTAAATAAAAAACACTTTCGATAAAAATTACAATAGTAATGCAATAGTAGTGCAATATATACTATAATAGCTGTGAGGTGTCGCGGCAATTTAAAAAATAAATGATTCTTTGACTTTCTCATTTCAGTCATAACATTTGATAACTTCCATAATCACCTTTTATTCGTGACAAAAATGATAAAACCCGAATCCCAAATGATAAGACTCCGATATATCAGCTAATTCAACGTCTCCCCCTTCATTTCTGTTCCCAACTTTTGCTATTAGAACGAAACAGTTTGCCTAATACTTCGCCCAAACTTTTAACCGTCGTTCTGGCTCCCAGGGCATTTTTGGTCTCGTTTCTCAGAGATATCTGTCCCCTCTGCCCCCAGCTCCACCAAATAACAGGATATCCTTGTTACTCTCCTTCACATCTCCATCCTCAATACACTGGGCTAATTTCGCTTCTATATTTTCAATTCAACGGCCGTGTGGTTTAAAGCTCCATTCAATTTCACCGGTGGATTGTCTCGGGGTACAGGAGAGAGACGACTTCACAAGGAGGCTTTTGGTCCAACAAGGCTAGGAGAAGGTACAGAGAATGAGAAGAAGAGGAGAGGTGTATGGAAAAGGGCCAGAGTTGGAAGAAAACGAAGTTATACGGCCATAAATTCCGCTCGCCCGGTGTTTAACGAAGTTCCGATTGGCCGTGAAGCCACTGTCGATAATCGAGCTTGCATGAATTATCCGCGCCACTGCAATTCACTATCTCATTCTCGTACTTTCGTTCCCTCTTACCCATTGATCGTTTGCCAGAGATGTCTGAATAATTAATGCTACGAAAAATAGTCGATAAAATACCGAGTGTTCCTCAATAATTTTCCTATAATTTAATAATTCTGTGTAACTTTGAGAAATACATTGAAAACTTTTCATTTTAATTTAGTTATCACAAATGAATACTCTACTTAATTTGTGATATTATTTACTCTGACTCTTCGACGTTTTAGAAAATTTAATTAATCATTTAATCAGGATAAGACCCGTTGAATCTTCCAAGTGAGAGAAAATGGCAGTGGGTCGTTTCCGAGTAAACTTTTGCTTAATGCGATTAAGCGTTCAACTCGCTCACCAGGAGGTGTATAAAGTACAGTCGTAGGTAAATCAGACTTTTGATCGGATCTGGAAACCAGAAGGAGAGCCATTCGTTACACCTGTTGTTCAAACGGCAGCACTTACTATTTTTTTTTCTCCACCAATTCCTTGCTCTTCCCCTGATCCCACCATCGCCCTCACCTCCATCTGGCACTCACGAAAATTGTTTTTCAAGCCAGACAACCAATGCGAATTGATGTAAAAACAGCGGAGAAAAGGGGTCAGAGGGGCCAAAATGGAGATAAAGGAAAAAAAAAGAAAAAGAGGAGAGGATGTGGGGATTCTATCGAACATTGCCAAACGAGTTTGTGTGTTGGAATGGCCCCGAGAAGAAATATAAGACAGAAAAAAAAAATAAAGAAGCACAATCTTTAGCGTTGTGGATGGCACCTGGAGCGTTTGCCAGGTTCATCTTCCAAATCAATGAGCATCTAGAGTAGAAAAACACGCACGAACTGGCGCAAAGTTTGCAGAAATAATTCCGAATGTTTTTCTGTTGCTCAGTCAACCCCTCCCCGTTTGCTTCTTCAGCAGCAAATGTCCCTTCAGCCTCATCGTCTCTACCAGTACTCACCCCGCACATCCCCCGTTACTTTATTTTTTCTCTTTATTTCGGACATTGCCTCGTTTTTTTCTCAACTCCTTACATCCCAAAGGTTTCGTGACAATGTCGGCAAAGACGCAAGCCATCAGCATAAAACGCGCGGTTTTATGAGCCGTAGCGAGTAGACGGTTTCGTGTTACATCTTCCTCAAATGCCCCGACATTGTGTTCACTCTCGACTGCCTTGGGAAACTTTACCGTTGGAAACTCTATACCTTCACTCCTCTCCTTTTCCCTCAACTCACATTTTTTTTTCTTCAAACCCCCTCTGCACACTGTCTTCATCTCTGTCTCACTGGTAAAATTTACCCCCGTCAAGTTCTTGTCTTTCAGTCTTTGGGTGTTAATGTCTAGTTGTATACATGCCACTGTGACTTCTCATTTCAACCGTGTCTCAAGATTTTCCCCTCGTCTCTCGTCTTTATATCTCGTTTCTCGTACGTGATTGTCTATCTCCTGATTTTTCCATCATGTTTCCCCATAAAACGAGCTGAAACGAGGTACACAATAGAGAGAAAGAAATAAATTTAGGGGAGGAAATTCATCAATGAACTGCTGAGTAAAAAAAAAAGACTTTTATTGTGATGAGTATCTGGGAGTATAAAAAATCTATCTCTCATTTGTTTAATCTTTTTTGGGTTCACCGGAGCAATGTGTCATAATACTGATGAGTACCATTGAAACTAGGTTACGGGCACTTTATGGAAATCGTTGAATCGTAAACTAGTACCATCTTCCTCAGGCCAGTGTCCAGTGGTGGTGTTAGGGTTTTCATTTGCCTCGTTAAAACGTTCCATCAAATGTCTCTCTACTAAAACATGGCGGCACTTAATCCACCCCCTATTCCACCTCTTACGTCAAATTTGATCTCTGATATATTGCGATGATGTATAAAGCCTATAAACATCATGGGCTTTATAGCAATTAAGAGTTTGTGACTCATTTGGCGTTTTAAATTAACCAGCA